TGGGGTTTGGAGAGGACGTACTCTTCAGCTTTAATGAACTTGAGGGATCTCTGGTTGACTTCGTCAAAAGTGGTTGGGGTGTTCTTGATTAAGTTATCCCGAAACCGATCATGGTTGAGGCCTTGCATCACGGCAGTTACTCCCACTGCTTCATCGAAGGCATTCACCTCTAGCATGGCGTCGTTGAACCTGTTCATATAGTTCTTCAAGGATTCGTCTTCTCTTTGCGTTATGCGCATGAGCTCGGGTGTCGTCTTTTTGATCAACCTTCTGCTTGAGAATTTGGTGGCAAAGAGGTTTGCCAGCTCGGCATACGCATTAATCGAGTTCGGACGCAGGGTGTGATACTAGGTCCGGGCATTGCCGCGCAATGTGGAGGGGAACATCTTGCACATAAGTGCGTCTGAGGCATTTTGAGCCTGCATGATGGAGAAAAATGCATGCAAGTGGTCATCAGGGTCTTTAGTGCCGTCATATGTTTCAAACTGCGGCATCCTGAAACCGGGTGGATATGGCTCTTGGGTGATTTTGATACCGAGGGGAGTGGGGATAGAGGCTGATACAGGTGGGGTCTGCGGTTGTGGATCTTTGTTCTCGGCTAGCAGCTTTTCGAGGTTATCTAGCCTCTTTGAGACATCTGAGGCAGCTGGTTGAGGCGGGTTTTGTGGCTGGGGTAGCATGTGAGATTGTGCTTGAGAAGCGTTTGGGGCGGCACTGCGGACCGGAGAGTTGGCAGGCTGTTGAACTGGTTGGGGAGCCACGGGGGGAGCTGGGTTCAATAAGTGAATAAGTGGGTCAGCGGGGTTATTTCTGGCCAACAGCTGGGCAAGTACTAGCTGGAAGACCCCGAATTGTTGTTGCATGGCATTGAGTTGAGCGGTCACAGGGTCGCTTGCTACAGCGTTGGGGTATTGTGGATTATGTTCCCCAACTCCCTCTGTCTGCTGATGTTGGGGGGCTGCAACCGGTGCACTCTGTGACCCGGGGTTGACGCTTGGGGGCTGGCCTCTTCCTTGGCCTCTGGGGGGACTCTCGCGCTGGGTTGTTCGTGTGCGTACCATCTTAACTTCTGGTGATGACTTCTATTCGGTTTCCCACAGACGGCGCCAATGTTGTTGTTGAATATCCTTGAGTTCCTGCTTCAAGTCGGTTCTTCTTCAAATAGTCCTGCAAAATCCCGAGGTTTGTCCTCGGGGAGAAACTCCGATGCTTAAGTTAGTATTTTCCTCTCTCTTTTCTTTTTTTGTTCCGCCTATTTATCGAGTCTTACCTTGTAGGCTTTGTCCCGCTTGGCAAGGCACCCACGTGGCCCGTCCATACCCACGTGGCCCGTCCATACCCACGTGGCCTAGTCAATCCAATAATGGTGACATGGTGCGCCTGACGGAGTAGACGTTTTAGGTGGGTGTAACGTGCCTTAACGGAGCAACCGCATTAAATGCGCGTGGTGCGTTCTGGCGGAGCAGGTTCCTTGAGAAGGGGTGTTCTGGTACAGACGAGTGATCAGATGAGGGTGTGCCTATTGTGGCTGTCATACACCCACGGCGAAGTGCCGAGGTGCGGTTGGCTCTGAGCTCTGCACCTTGTCTTGTCTCGTGTGGCTGCCCTTA